TTAAACGTAAGTTAGGAACTCCTGTTAGTGAGAATACCAAACTTTTTTGCGAGAAACTGGATCAAAAAAGGGTAAAAAAATCCACGTTATCCCAGAGCATAGAGGCTAAGATGCGTAGAGCACAACTTAAAATTGAAAGAGAAAATTTGAGAAAAACGTTGGAAAATCGCGAAGGTATTACTTATCAAAGCAACATTTCGTTTGACAGTGTTGATAATATGAAGTGCATAGAAGAATCAACAATTTTATCTGTAGAAAATTGTAAATTGGTTTGTTTTGATCTTGAAACATCTGGTCGTCGAAAAGATGCAGATGTATTGCAAATAGCAGCAAAAGTTGATGAGAACATTTTTTCCATTTACATTGAACCAACACAAACGATCGACAATGAAGCTAGTCAAGTGAATGGTCTAGAAAATATTGATGGAGAGCTATTTTTGAATGGTGAGAAATTACTCACTGTGAGTATGCGTGAAGCTTTACAAGCGTTTTATGAATTCTTATCTAAATTCACCAAAGGTTCATTGTTGATTGCGCATAATGCAATATTTGATATAACTTTCCTAGTCAGAGAAATAAAAAAGTATTCATTGGTTGACGAGTTCAAAAAAATTATTTATGGCTTTAGCGATAGTTTAAAATTATTCAGAAAAAAATTGTCAGACCGTAAAGGTCCAGGTATGTTCACTCTCGCAAAATTGGCAGAAGACTTTTTAAAAAATGATTCATTCGAAATGAACTTCCATGAAGCTACGTTTGATGTTATCGTATTAGAAAAATTGGTACGTCAGTTGTTAGATGTTGAAAGTTTATTTTCTTGTGCATGCATTTATGCAACTGCAATTAATAAATCCATTAATGATAGGGAAATAAATTCTAAAACTGAAACTTTTTCGGCTATGAAAGGTGTTATTACGGATTACATGATGAAAAAATTAGCAGCTTCGGGAATCACATATGATAACTTAGTTCACGATTTTAAAACCAAGGGTGATACATATATAGTTTCATTATTATCAGAATCGCGAGGAGACAAAAAGCGAATAACGAACAAGAAACAAATTATTAGTTCTATTATTAACCATTTAAATAGTATTACTAGTTAGTAGATGGAGGATAATTTCTCCAAGATTTATCAGACTTTTAACTGAAAAGTACAACTTAGAATTATAGAAAATCTATATCACACGAGACTGAATGTAGATAACAATATAATAAATATTGAGAAATCGTCCCAGCAAACGAAAAAAGATTGAAAAGAATTAAAACGGGATTGCCA